TCGAACACTGTGCGAAACTGATGGGCCGTCAATTCCTCAACGGTGTACGGTTCTACGTTGATTGTACTATGAGGCGTCACGTCCGGTTTCTTCATGAGTGACGTGGGTGCTGGATTGACTCTAAGGGGTCCGCCGGGTTCGGTGTAGAATGGCCTCCTCCTAGAGTACTCTTCTAAAAAGTGGACTACGGCTTCCATCCTCTCCTTCTTCCTCTGAAGAGCCTCCTCCTTCTCCTTCTTTTTCTTCATCATACTAGCTCCCGCGGTGGCCATCTCATCGTAAGTGATCTCGAAGCTGAGTGGTGGGCTTATCGCTTTCACCTGTACTTAGCTGTGTTGGGCTCCCAATCGCTTGGGTTGACGTCGTGCTGTAGAGAGCTTCCTGCCTGAACTACTTCGGATGTGTCCATCTCTTCCTCTTGTGGCTTCGTTCTTTTCCTTTTCGACACTTTGCTTCTCTACTCCCGATGAACTTTCCGACTCTTGCTTCTTCTGTTCCTTCTTCTCTTTCTTGGAAGCTTCTGCAGTGAAGTCTTGCCGCTTCAGCTTGCACTTGCTGTGCCCACGACATGTTGAGTAGGGGATCCTCGAACGGTGAAGAACCTCTAGCTCCTCTTTGGCCCTGCGGGCGTGAGGACGGGGGACGTGAACTAGCTGTACCCCGGGGTTGAACCGGAGAGACACGAGACGACTGCGGAGTGGACTGTCTGGAGTTTAGAGTGCTAAAGGTAAACCTACCTCTAGCTCCTCTCCTACGACTCCATCCGCGAGGTGCGCTCGGTGCATCCTTCTTCGGACTACCACCAGGCGAACTCATAATAGCAACGAAAACTTCAGATCGCACGAAAACAGACCAAGTTCTAAAAGGGAGCAGTCATTAGTAGGGTCCGCGGAATAATTACAAGGTTTACGCGATTGTTAGTTCAATTAAGAGGTTAATGAGGTTAGTATTGGGGAAGCCGTAATTAAAATGGTGAGATAAAAAGGAAATGTTAGTATTAGTGAGATACTAAAAATGTTAGTAATTCAAAATGTAACCGAACTTTAAATTTCACTGAATTATAACTATGATGAAATGACGATGATGATTTTGAATGTGACAAAAATATGTCATGAATGATAACTACTTCAGAATGAAATCATGAACTACTATTAAATGAAACGAATGAGTGAAATAGGAGCATCTTAGTAATGTAGTTCATGAGTGATGAAGAAAGGAATGAATGTGAGAAGGTGAATTATGAAGTAGTACAAGAAAGAGTTAATGTAGATGACTTTGTAAAAAAAAGGGTTAAATCGAACATGAATTAATGAATTGAAGTGTAGAAGTGAATGTGAGTACATGAGGTGTAAGTGAATAAAATGTTTGAGTTAAAGTGAGAAGTGTTAGTGTGAATTAGTACTTAGGTGCAAAATCGTAATTTATGATTTTGACTAAAACTTCCATGAGATATGTGAGAAAAAGGAAAACGAGACCTCAATGAACTACTAATGAATGAAATGACTCGAAGAAAGTGAAATAATGAATTGAAAATGAGAAATCTGATTTTCGAAAAGCGTCGCCTTTTTGACTACAAAAGGAGATGAAATGAGTGGCGACATTAAAAGCCTATTTCTTGGAAACGATGTGACTAAAAGTCTTCTTCAATGAAGTAAATGATGAAAACATATGAATTATGAAGAGAACAGCAATCAACTGAACGAAAGAAACGCGAAACGAAAAACAGTAACGAAGACGCCGCCGACACCGGGCTAAATGAGATTTTCGGATTTCGTCATGCCTACGTTGGCGCGTGCCTTACTGTAATTCGCGTCGGGACTCTTCGTTGGTTGATCTACTGCGCCCTATGATTACTTTATGCTTATGGCGTGTTAGTTCATTGAGTTTCTTATGCTTATTTCTTTTCTAACTTCTACCTTATTCTAGTGAGTTCGTGAAGTAACGAAGTAGCTGATGTGAAGCATTCGAATGATGAAGTCGAGAGTTGTGAATGCTGTGATTCTTGAGATAGTGTGAAATACGACATATCTTAAGGTGTTGAGATGGAAAGTTTTAGTTCAGGTAAGGTTAGTAATAAGGGTGAATTAGAGTAGTGTGAGTATGATTAGATGATGAGTGAGTGTGAAATGAGTTAGAAGTGTGAGTTAAGTTTTGAACTGTAATGGTGTGAGTTACGAACAAGATTTGCTTACTCAGTTACCTCGTCTTTTCGCTGCTCTGTCTGGTTGGATGCGTGTCGGAAGATGTTTCTTTTTTGTCTGTAGTAGATCTTTCGTGTCCGCTGCGCATACTTCCAGAGGGATCAGCTGATTGACTGATCGATCGAGAACTTTGTTGTTTCCTGTTTTTATCCTTACTGATCGAACTGATCCATCGACTGATTCATTGATTTGTATTATAAGACCTAGTGGCCATTGCGACCTTTGTGTATTCTCCGTTTTGATGAGTACTACATCACCGACTTTTGGCATGTGTTTGGCACCTTGTCTGAGAGTTGATCTTTTTTGATTTCTTTCCGCAAGGTTCTGAAGGTATTCCTTCTGCCAATGGTTCCAGAATGTATTTAGGGTGTCCTGTAGTAGTACATACGAATTGATGATTTCTTCATGTGAGTCCGAGATTATTGATCGGTCACTTGAGTTGAATGCTCCTGAGTTGGGAGGTGTGAAATAGGGGTTAATGAGGTCGATTGGCCGTAGTACAAATGAATCTTCCGTTGAGTCCGTGGTAACTGGAGTAATTGGCCTTGTGTTAAGTGTGGCCTCTATCTCTGACATGACTGTTTGAAGACTCCATAGATCCAGAGTTCGCCTGTGAATGGCTTTCTTCAAAGCTGCTTTCACTGATCCCACTAGCCTCTCGTAGAAGCCTCCTTTCCAAGGTGAAAGGGGTGTTATAAACTTCCATTCGAGGTTCTGTGAACTGGTGAACTGCTGGACTGCTGGGTATTCTCTCACAGCTTGTAGCTCGTTCACCAGAATTTCCTTTCCTAGTTTGAAGGTAGGCGCGTTGTCGCTCAAGACCAGGGTTGGGCTTCCTCGACGTGCTATGAACCTTCGAAAGGCTAGGATGAATTGTGGTGCTGAGTTGTCGGCTACAACCTCGAGATGCAGGGCACGGGTTGCCATGCATGTGAAGAGACATACCCAGACTTTTTTGTCCTGTCCGAATTCTTGGCGAACTGTGAGGGGTCCGAAGTAGTCTAGACCTGTGTTTTGGAATGGTCTACTCCGGACTACTCTCTGGCTTGGTAAGTCAGGAATGCGAGGATACGAGAAGGATCTTCCTTGGTGTCTTCTGCAAACTACACATCTTCTGACGACAGCGTTGACCACTCTCCGAACCCTCGGAATGAGGTAATGATTTCTGAGTTCGGATATGAGGTGTGAAACTCCGGCGTGGAATAGCTTCTGATGGAAGTCCGTGACGATCAGTCTGGTGAGCTGATGGTTCGGCAAAAGTAGAATTGGGTTCTTGGCTGTGTCCAAGATCTCTGCATTTGCCATCCGTAGATCTCCACGGTAAATTCCATCGTCGCACATCGACACCTGGAGACGCTGAACTATGCGACCTTGCAGTTGAAGCACTTCTTCGCGGTAGTGTTCGCGAAGTAGAAGAATTTCTGCTGCTTTCCTGTCGCTTGTAGTGATCGTTTGCGTTTCCGACATCAAGGTGATGATCCTATGGCTGTTCTCCTCGGTTGACTCGCCTTTTCTGCTTTTCCGCCAGAGGATGGATATGTATTTTAGAACGTAAGAAGTTATTCTAACTAGTTTTTCGTATGAACTAGTCTTAATGAATGGGATAAACGATTTATAAGTGTCAATGGATGTGTTTATTACGGACTTGAATTCTTCTTGCGCTTCCTTAGGTGGAATGGTTTTAGCGCTGAAGTCCATATCTGTGTTAGGCCATTTTGTAGGCTGGTTGAGTATGAAAGCTAGGGCCGTGCCACCACATATGGCTTGATAGCTCAGAAGCTGACAAGCCTCTGGTCGCACAGTCTGCTGGGTTACTGTCTGTGTTAACGTAGTGGAACTTGTACGGTATGTTTGCATCCGACAGTTCCTGCGTTACTTCTTTTATGTATTTGACCCTATTGTTGACAAACGTTTTGAGCTGTTTATTGGAATGTATCCAGTAAAGAGCTATTTGTGAGTCCGATAGAATTTGGACTGAACTAAGGGTAATTTTGAGCTGTTTTCGAAGGAAACGGACTAATTTTGCCGCCAAGACGGAACCCAGGAGTTCCAATCTTGGAATGGACGTTTTCTTCATCACTGCCAACTTTGCTTTGCGAATATTAAGTTACTGAAGGGTTTCTTTTTCAGTGGTCGACATACTAGGTATGCGACTGCTGCATAGACCCTCTGCGATGCATCTGAGAAGATGACCAGATCGTATCTGGCTTCTTCTGTGGTGGTTATGAATCTTGGTACGTTTCCCGTGAAACCTTTGATGTCTTCTGTGATACATTTCCACTTTTCTGACATATTTTCGTCGAAGGGGTCATCCCATTTGTAATTGTTCAGCCAAAGGTCTTGGATGAACATCTTTGCCTTGATGAACAATGGGGTTAGGAGACCCAATGGATCAAACGTAGATGCGAATGCTTTTAGTGCACTACGTTTCGTGTTGACTTCTTTCTTAGTTGTCTTGATTGGTATTGAAAGAGAATCTTTATGGGTATTCCATCGGAGTCCCAAAAGTTTCACTGTACTACTCGTTTGTTTCATCCTGTCTTCCGTTGGAGTAGCGTTCCAGCACGTTGACGTCGTTGGACATGAATTCGCGAAGGTTCATGCCATCTTGGAGAAGATGTCCTTGCATCGTGTTCTTTTCCGTAAGACCTTCGTCGACTGTTTTGGCGCCAATTAAAACATTGTCGACATAGGTGTTCGCAAGAATTTCCTCCTGTAGCTGATTGCTTCCCTCCTTTTCCAGTGCGTACTTTATGGACATGCTTAGCAGGAATGGCGAAGCATTTACGCCGAATGGAATACGTGTAAAACGTAGTATGCGTATGTTGTCCTTCGTTGGGTACTTGAAGTATCCTTCAACCAGAGGAAACGTGTTGCGTCCCTCTGATCCTCCTGTAGTCGAATCTGGTGGAATGCTTTCTCCACGTCTGCTATGATGAGTATTGGTGTTAGACGTGCCCGTAGTAATGTGCCGCACAAATCTGGCAGAAGTGTTGGGCCTTGGTGAACGCAGTCGTTGAGGCTGGGTACACCTTTCATGTGGCTTGACGCGTCGAACACAATACGTAGCTTTGTAGTAGCACTGTCCTCCTTGAATACCGCTTGATGTGGAATGTAGTACACCCATTTTCCGTGAGCTGCTTGCTCATTGACTTCTTCTATGATTCCTGACTGTAGCTGTTGATCGAAGGTCTTGCAGTATCCTTCCATACTTTTGTATTGAGGTGGAGTTTGTTGTATTGATTTTGTAATCTTCCTGACTGCAAGAGCTTTGTTGTCAGCCAAGTGGCGGGTGATTTACTTTCCACGGGAACTGAACATGTATGAGGCCGTCCTTGACTTGCACTGTGTCGTAGTAGTGTTGGATTATACTCTCATTCGCTTCGTCTGCTTCATCCTTGGTTTCGAGGGATTCTAGTCCAAAGAGGCGTTGGACTATGCGATCTGTTTCGCAAGTCGCTTCATTTTCTTCTCTTTGTAAGCTAGGTTCTGAGACGAAGAACACCTTGGATGGAGTAGATGACTGGCATCCCGACAAAACTGGTCCGAGTGTAGTTTTCGACTCAACGAGGCCTGATGGGAGTTGACGGTTTGAGTTGAAATCTACTACATCCCAATGGTAGTCCATTCCAATCAGAACGTCGACTTCCACTTCCGATATTTTTCCTCTAGTGTAGCGTCCGTCGAGTTCGCCTTCACTCATTTCCACGGAAGAGATTGTCTTTCGCGTCCATAGGTAAAGTTTTGTGGGGGTCCCAGTTTGTTTGTTTTGGAGTATAATCTTGACACGGTAAGATCTTTCTGTATGTGAGTGGCCTCCGAATGTTATTGTTGTAACATCCCGCGGGCTCATGAGTTTTAGTCCAAGGCTACGTGCAGTACTCTTTTTTATATAGCTATGTTGTGAGCCGCTATCTATGAGTACCGTTATAAGTTGTTTGGACTTTTGTGTTCTTATTGAATGTTAACGCTTGCACTATCATGAGACGTGGTTGGTTTTGCATTGTTGTAAGTTTATCCCCTTTTATTCCTTGACGAGCGCGTCGGTTATGAGATGTAATTGCTTTTGTGGAAATTGTGTTAACCCGAACTATTTCTTCTTCTGACTCTTCAGAAGCTTGTTCTAGTTCAGACTTTATATGTTTAGGTTCGCTACGATCCAGACTAGGAGTGGGGGATGTGTTAGAATACGCATACGTCCTTGGTGAATTCTTGAATCCAACTTTGGGGTGAGGGGATCCTTTGCGATAGAATCTTGATTTTCTTGTAGGAGATCTCCCTCTGTGTTCCGAACTTGGGGAACGAGATCTGGATCTTGAACTGTTCCTGAAGCTTGCTTCCGTTGAGTAGCTATCCACTGAACTGTTCCTTCTTGAATACCTTGTCTTAGGACTTGGCGATCTTCTTGGACTAAATGAGGATCTACGTTGCAGACAAAGGGACTTGTGGTGACTTCGACCGCATTTGTAGCACGTAGGGGCTTCGCAATTTTGACTCTTATGGCCTTGTTTCAGGCATTTCCAGCACAGCCGATGACGTACTACCGCTTCTCTCCTTTCGTATGGAGACGTCACTTCGTCGCAGTCTGCGGTTTTGTGCCTGTTTTGCAGGCAGAAACTGCAGCGCGATTCCTTTGGATGACTGGATCTCTGCTTGCCTCTCGTTCTTCGTTTCGGTAGTGTTTCTTTGTTAGAGTCGAGACTGCTGTCCCTTGACGCTCTTCTTGTCGCTGGTTTTCTGAAGCGCTGTGGACTACGTGAGTTGTTGATTGCATGCGATCTTGTCTTAGTAATCGGAGTTGGATCTGTATCTTCTATGATTTCCAACTGGTCGATGACTTCATCGAATGCTTCGATAAGTCGTCTGTAGTCCAGTTGTCACCTCTTCTGCGTTTCTCTCCGACTTTCTTCCCTTGTCTTCCTTGGAAATTTGGATCGAACTGTCCTCATCGTCATCGTTGAGCCAGGTTGCTCAGCGAGGTTCGCGAGTTGGACCCAGATTGCCTTTACTTTACACAGTGTAATACGCTGTTCTGTGACGGCTTTCCCAGAAGGGGGCAGTGCCTCTACCTGTTCGACAAGCCTATTCCTCGGAACTCGTCCGGCTCTGTTGATGTATTCGAAGTAAGAGGTCCGAATGCCCTGCCGCGCTCCGCATTTTCCTGCCACCGATACGCGTCATCCGAAGCCCATTAGTCTCTCGTGTCCCTCGCCTCCACGCTACAACTCTAGGTGACCACAACTTCCTGGAGCTCCACTACGCTGTCCTCGCCACTCTACCTCGTCGCTCGCGAACCTGTATCCTACGTTCCCAGAACTCCGGGACCTCTACCATTGTGGCGCGTGGCAAGTGTGGGTAGCCCGTCGCCCCACGTCCCGTACCTGCTGGATTTCGATCTCTGGAGTAAGCTTCCGTTTGCACTTTGTCCGGTTTCTTTTCATTGGATGAAACTTGTTCTATCGACTTCTTCAAGTATTCTGTTGAGTGTAGGAATAGTTGCGCGTTGACAATATATTTTTCCGCACTATTTGCCCTCCCAGGTGATCCGTGGATTCTTGAATTACGTGGCAGCGATTTTCTTCCTCCTTTATATTGTCGGAGTACTCTTCGCCTCGCTTCCAGATCGCCTGAAGATGTTCATCCAATGATTGAGACCGACTTGTGCTTCTAACAGCTGCGTTATGAACTTCGTTGCCATTCTCTTATCCCCGAAGTTGCCGTTCTGTGGCTCGAAGTTGAAGATATCGGTCATCGTCCGCTCCGTCTCCGTTATCCTCTCCTTCCTTCAGTCTTCCCGGCACTGCGTCGCCCTTCGTTTTATCTGACCCCTGCATGTTGCAAACCGTAAGACATCCGCAGTCAGCACGTAGCAATAGCCAAGCGGTCGCACCAGGCTCCCCACCTAGGACTCCCACAATTCGAGGACCGCGTATCCTGAAATGCGCGGTTTCGAGCATATTTTTATGTGGTCATGCCTTAAGCCATCCCCCCGGTGACGTAATTTTATATTCAGTCACAGCGAGGTTAGCTAGTTTATCCTAGGCCGTTACCCGCAGTCGGCCACGCGTCCGGATACTGTAACTAATGCTAAGCGCGAAAATGACATGACAATACTTCAACAAAATCAAGAAGAATGAAGTGAAGTACAAGAAAAAGGAAAGAAAAAGCGTCGTTTCGTGTAGCAACCGACGTGAGTTTTTTAAATACTTTCCTACTTTTTAATTTTACTACCTACATTTTGCATTTGTTACCTACATTACATTTTTGCTTGCAATTAGTTCACTTTTTTTTGATTGCATGTATTATATGCTTTTACCCTTATTGGACCTAGTGGGACTTAGTGGGACTAAACCCAGAATAACGTGAATTACTTACCTGTAGTACGTGGGATTTGAAGGGAGCGGTCGAACGAGCCAAAAGGAGGAGCCCACTGAGTTGGTAGACCCATCCGTAACACCTCACCCTAGCTACCTTATTGGGTGGCCAACCCACATAGTAGAGGGGTTTTGAGGAGCTCCTCCCTCAGTGTGCCCAGTGTTATTGGGGCTAACAGGTATGTGGACTAGTCTCTACAAGTCTACCGGCCATTGCTGTGGCGCTACGACAGCTTTGGCTGGAGGCCCGACAAATCGCCTCCACTCACCGTGTGAGCTCATCCACCCTTTCAGCTGGTTCGTCCGCGTCCTTCTTGTAGTGCA